TTTAGAAGCAAAAGCGGTCTGTAAAGTAAACATTTATAGTTTCAAATGAAACGAATAAAGAGCAGAATCCTCCTCACACATAGGCCAAGAATAGTAGTGCTTTGAAATACTAATCCCTTTCGATGTCATAAGTTTTACCGATGGTCTTATTTCCACCTGGGAGATCTCTGCGAAGCGTGCGTAATATTCTTCTGTAATCTTGCAGCTTCAACATTGGTCCGTGAACCAGTTTTCAGTTATAGGAGGCCCAAGAAAATCCCCGCCTCGCAAGGTATAACCTCCGACAATTTTACTGGTTTTTGAGTTTACCCCGAACAACGAAAACGGCTATTATTTTGTGTATGTAGTACATTAGAGTGGTCCAAAGAAAAATTTTCCAAGACAATGTTTGGGGCACCTTCCAAAATTTTTTTTTGCCGAAAGAGGTGCTGGTACCAAACCTTACGTTTCTATGTATACATTTAGAAGTTGCTCATGGTGCACATATCTTACTGTAAAAGTATTGTGTATATATATTAATCAAAGAATTGGTTAAGTAACCTAAGAACATTTCAAATTTAAATAATCTAAAAAAATATCACAAGTTTCAGTTGTCATGGCAACAGTACCTTTTTATAAAAATCACCAATATTTTTGTTAGTTTCGCAGCGATCCGAAAGCGCATTTCAAGGCCATTGAGCACCCTGTATTAGTTGCAGTAGAAAACTGAAAGTTGTTATAGATATTACAAATGTTAAAAGGAAAAAACTAACGGGGTACCCCGTTTTCTAGAATGAAAATTTTTTCCCCTTACCAAAATTGGTCCACTTTAATGTATATATATATATGTTTCGAATGCAAAAAAAATCATCAGAGAGTAATAATCGTTTCGAATTTGCATTAAAAAAATCGGTTCATAAATCTACCAAGCGGGTCTATTTTTTGGAAACGTATTTTCCATCATGCTGGTAGCTCACATTTGGAATTTAAAACAAATCGGTTCATAAATACGATTTTTATAAATAAATCGACTCCAGTGCCACCTAGTGGCTCTATTTTTTGCATACATATTTCTTATCATAGAGGTAGCAGACGTTTTGAATTTGAACGAAATCGGTTGATAAATACGGCTTTTATAAATAACTCGACCCCAGCGCCCCCTAGCTTTTGAGTTGACTCCGAACAACGAAAACGGCTATTGTTTTATATATATAGATTTGCTTATGAAATAAATGAGGGTTCAAGCCAGTTGGATGCTAGTAGGATATTGATAACTACATTCATCTCGAACTTTATCGGTGAATCGTTTTAGATGTTCAGGTAATTTAACCTTATTTGACAAGTTGATCCCAATGTTCTATATCCGTCACTCGTTCGGAAGCTGCGTAAAACTGAAGGTCCTTCATTTATAGCCAGACCATAAACTGGAGGAAAAAAAGTTTAATCGCAAAAATATTATTAGTATGTATATTAGCGTGGGCCGAAAATCCGTTTTTTAGAATTTTGATTGGTAATAGCAAAAATATGGTTCACTTTTACTTGAACTTTGATGGACTTGGGCGAGCCTAGGATATTGATCAAAAAATTCTAAATTTCACATAAATTTTTTTTAAAGCATAATGAATCATGTTTTTGGTATTACCAATCAAAATTCTAAAAAAGCGGATTTTCGGCCCACGCTAATGTATATGTACACATATATGTACGTATGTATTGCATGAAATACTTATAAATATTTAAATAAGTATGTACATACATCCATGCATAACATCCTCTGCACGAAATCAGGTCAACGGTGCAATATAGGAACGCCCAACCAGACACAAGGCAAGCGGGACCTTAAGAATTTGCTGAGTGCATTATGTACATATGCGCCCGCATGTACATAGTATGAAATTAAGTAAATATATGCATATATACATATGTACATATATACATACATATGTATGTACATACTTCTGCTTGTTTTGGTGAATTACATACCTGTGGATATGTTTCTACATATGTATGTAAATCAAAGGTTAAAACAAACACTTCGTAATTCGTAAATGTCTGATCGAAATTATATGCATACATGCATACATACATATGTATGTATGTAGATATGTATCGATAGTTTGCCACTCTAGTATGTATACATATACGTAAATATATTTACTATCCCTACAAGATTTGTGTGATGGAAACTAACACGTTCTCATTTATCTTACCAACACATTTGCAAATTTCGCGTTGGTTAAAAAGAGACCATTAAATAACGCCATAAGTTGGAGGAAGACGGAAGATCATATGTACACAAATGTTTACATCAGATTTTTCACACTGCCCTTTAAAATTTGATAGAAACTTGTAGGTAGCCAGTGACAGAAATCTCTATCAGTCTTGCCACTCAAATAATTTGTCAAATGATAGTCACTGTTCTTGCAGGGTATCCTATGCAAAATGCAATTGACCTAGTAAAATTTCTATGTGTTAGGCGTAAATACATAAAGCAGTGAACCCTCTACTTGCCACTTGCCATCATCTTACTTTTGAATTGTCTCCTTGGCATGTTTGTCCTCGTTCTCGTTTGCCTTCATTTTTACTCTATGCACTTCAATTTTGCTTAGTGTTACAAGGATACGCCAAAATATTAATGCTACAAGTACACTGTACTCTTTCCAGTGCCCTGCACCATGCCTCACTTGGCCACCTCGCCAACTTACCCCACATTAAATCTACATACATATATATACATATATACTATGTTGCATATGCACTTTGTCCATGCTTATACCTATGTACATATCCAAGCATGCATAGATATGAATGTACATGATGGACTCGTTTTGAAGTCGCGATTTATACATCGCCCTTCGTGTTATCATCCCGGCTAGCGGTGTTTTCACTTAGCACACCAATACATTCGAAGTTGGAGCCGGCACGGCGCCGGTCGTAGATTTCACTTGGCAGTCCTAACGGATATTACGGCTCGTTTTCGCGCGCGATTCTAATATGTAACAGTGATTAAAAGCTTGATATCAGTGTCCACACTCGCCTACCACTTCTTCGGTTAAAGTAATTAACTCATTAAAGCTATCAGCAAGCTTTGTTGCGTGAAACAGAATGCGGGATCATTACAGACAAACAAGGCCATCCAGCCTCAGAGTAGGGAACCATATACTAAAATTTCTTTTGATAACTTGAATAATCTTGGTTTACATACATACGTATATATGTATTAGGGTAATCCCTAAAAATATGGAAGTCTAAATTTAGTATCGGACAACCCTTTATTTTATTCTATGTACAAAATAAGAACTTCAAAGAATATTTCAAAATTTCAATACAATTTTTAGATGTGAAAAAATTTAAATCTGATAAATTTGGCATTTTATTGAAAATTTGCATAGTCATCGCCATTTGCCAGTCATCCTTTCTTGGAAATACTTTCAACATTTTTCAATTGTTAATTAACAATTAATATGTTGATATTATAAGGTTCAACCTAATACATATGTACATACAGCTGCGAGTAAAATAGTAGTACCAGAATTCAAAATGATGCTGTTTGTAACTTTTGTTTATTTATTTATTGTTAATAATTTTCATTTAAAGTAATTGTCGATCTTCATATATCAGAAACCGCATAAATAAAAATTTCAAAGCTTGCACAAAGTTCACAAAAACTGATTAAACTTAAAAAAAGCTCATGAAGTTTTGTAGCCCATTCAATTTTAATGCAAGGTTTAAGTCGCTAAAAATTACCGTTGATTTTTTAGATTTTTCGTTTGTCAACGGTGTTGAGCATTTTCTTCCATATAACGCATGAACAAAATTTATTTTTATATGGAAAAAAATGCGCAACACCCTTTACAAAAGAATTCTAAAAAATCAACAGTAATTTTTAGCGACTTGAAGCTTCAACAATAACTTTTGTAACCGGAAAAGTGTATTACCAAAAAATGTTACCAGTTCCCGTCACCGCGATTTTAAACACGTTGGCAGTGCAGTTAAATGTTCAACAATTCAACTACGAAAATTTGTGGAAATTCTGGCATTGCATATTTCACGGGGAAATATTTTGGGTTTACAAATTTACAGGGACTTTATTTACCGGTTACAAAATTTTTGTTATCAGCGTAGAATAGACCTGTCTGTGAACTCTGTGCAAGCTTTGAAACTTTTATTTACAAGTCTATTCTGTGCTGGTAACATAAATTTTGTAACCGGTAATTAAAGTGTCTGTCAATTTTTAAACCTTTTTCGCATTCTGTACTCTCTTGTAACCGGTAAATTTGGTTACCATCTCATAAGCTAGTAACAAAATATTGCCCCTTGAAATATGCAATACAGGAATTTCCACAAATCTTCATAGCTGAATTGCATAATATTTTCACTGCATTACCAACGTACCTAGAATCGCGGTGACAAGAAGTGGTAAGATTTTTTGGTAATAAAATTTTCCGGTCACAAAATCTTCGGTAACGTGCAGAATAGACCTGTTATGCGGTTTCTAATATATGTATGTAGATCGACATATATTTTAAATGAAAATTGTAAAAAATAAATAAATAAACAGAAGTTGCCAACAGCATTATTTTGAATTTTGCTGCTATTATTTTACTCGCATCTATATATATACATATATGTATATATTTTTCACTATAATATTTAAAATTTCATATATACAGTATCGGTCATATCTATAGCACGCCTTTTCAAAGTGATATTGTGTGCCACTTATGTTTATTTATCTATTTTTAAGAATTTTCAATTCTGAGAAAAAAGTTTGAAATTTAGGTGAAAATTTGTTGCACTTTTTTGAAGTTTTCTACAAATTGTTAAACTTGGATTTATATGGGGTTTGTTAGAGAAAGAACTGTATTTTAATTGAAAATTCTCAAAAATAAATAAATAAACATAAGTTGCACACAATATCACTTTGAAATGGCGTGCTATAGATATGGCCGATACTGTATGTATATGTATGTATAGCCTTTGGAAAAACTTCTAATCTTTAATTTTCTCTTTCTCCACAGACAAACAAATCCAGATTCAGATGTACCTGGAAAGGCTGCAAACACATAGAACACACAAACAAGAAAATCGAAAGACATATAAGAAATGTTCATCTTGGGTGAGTAAAGTTGCAATTTCATACATACATATGCATACACATAAATAAAGTAGGTATTATCATCCATCCCCATGTATGCAGATACATACATACATACATATGTATGTATATGGGCACACGTACACTTTCAAAACAAAAAGTTTCATTTTTTAATTTGTGGGCACACCTATGTTTTATGTATGATTCTATTCGTAATCTCTTAATAAATCGATAAATATAAGTGTAATTCATTTTCATCAAGTGCTTCAAAAGTTAGATGAGGAATAAACATTTAGATCGCACAAAACTACGCTGTGCAAGTTTAAATTTTGAGCAAAGATTTTGAAAGTTGAACTCACTTAATTAAACGCTCGAAATTCAATAGTATCCCCCGTTTTACCAGATTTTTTTATTTGATATTTATTTTTTTATTTTATAAATTACTCCCTCAGTTTTGAAGTTATTTTACTAAAATTTTGCACATAACGGGTTTTTAATATTACCTTAATTATTGCGCAAAATTATCGAAATAGGTTCACTTTAACATATAGCTCCAACACAACTGATGACTCAGATTTGTATTTTTGCGCTATAACTGTAATTGCATATACGAATAAAAAAATGTATGCGTGCAATATGTTAAAATGAACCTATACTAAATTTGTACCTGCTTAATTGGAGGAGTTATAACACAAAACAACGTCTCTAAACAATCAGTTGTATGCGAGCTAGAGGTTATAGTGAACCGACTTTGATGATTTTAAGAGATAGTGAAGGAAATATTCAAATACAATCGTGTTCAAAATTTTCGTAAAATATCTTAAAAAATTAGGGAGTTTTTTATAAAATAGTTAATTAAAATATAACTCCTTAAATGTAATAAAATTTAAAGGCTCCAATTAAGTATGTAGAGACAACTATCAGAGTCTTTGTCAAAAAAAAGTTGATTTGATACCCTGCTCGAAATATTCTGACTAAAAGAAGGCGCATCATTAAAAATAGTAAATCGGGGTTTTTACACACTTCTAGAACAAAAATTTTAAGCATTTTACAGGTATATTGTAACGATATATGGACTAGTAGTTACACAAAGATTTAGATCGTTTCGACGTATTTTCCAAATGTGCCTTCAATTAAGATGTTTTTGGTACAAAAATTACGCTCAAGATCGCACAATATTTTATCTTTAAAGATTGGTTTGTTCTTAAAGCACACCTCTGGCTAAGGTATAAAATTATTCGTAATTGTTTGTAGAATACAAAACGTACTTAAAAAGTTTTTAGAATAAAATACTTCAAAACCTATAACGCGATAAACCGACTTTTCGATTGCAAGCGAATTGGCAAGAACTTATGGTCTGATTTTGGCAACTTAACGTAACTTACAGGCTTTCACTTAAAAATTCTCTTAAATGGATGTTGCTTATAATCACGATTGAGAGAATACAAAGGTTGCGCCGATCTCGGACCGCTATTCCTCTCTTAACGAATTTGACATAATCGTTGTCTGCATGACGTCACACTTGTGCAACCTGTTTACGTTTTCCTTGCAACATTTTTTCTTATTCTTCCATTCTTGCTCACGTTTTGGCATTTCTCTCTCGCAATTGCACCAGTGTGACGTCACACAAAAGTTATTCTCAAAAATCCTCTCTGATCGGCGCAATCTTGTATTCTATCATTCTTGGCTTATAATTGAACAGCCGAAACTTAACGTAACTTAATGCCACGTTGAAATCTGTTTCGTTTTGATTTCCTAAGTTCTAAGTTCCGTTAAGTTAAGTTAAGTTGCTATAATCAGGCTTTTAGAATAGGTGTGAAGTCGAAAGCTACAGGCATTTATCAAGCAGGAAGATTTTACGTCTTTTATGTACATGCATACGTTGGGGCTTGTTCGAGATGCAATCCCAACCACTGGGTTGCATGATTGGTTTAAATCACGATTGAGAGAATACAAAGGTTGCGCCGATCTCGGACCGCTATTC